GAGCCTACAGAAGAGATAGAGAACTAGAAAAAGGCAAGAAGAAACAGTCGGTGGGAAGGGGCTTAGAAAGCATAAGTTCATTTTGCTAAGGGACAGGGAGAGTAAGGTAACATACTCATTTGGAGAAAGGCTGATAGTGTGCTAGAAGATAAAAAGAATATTTGCAGCAGAATAAGGAACTGAGGTATGAAATTTTGATTGATGGACAAAAGGAACAAAATGTGCACTAAAGAATGCGACTGAAAGAGTGGAGTAGGACAGGAAAGTTTTGAGGACAGGCAAAGTGCAAAGGGTCTCTTGGAACACAGACATTGGGGAAAAAAAAAAAGATAGGCCTGAGAATTCATGGGAACTGAATAGGGTGAGAAGACTTAGCAGAAAATGATGGAGCTGGTTTCAGAAGCAGCTGGAATGATGGCATGTAGAAATTGCAAATTAATTGGAGAAAAGCAGAAAAGGTAGAGGATGAGGCAATTGCTAGAAGATAGGAAAGAAATGAAGAAGACATTGGAGAAATGGAGAAACAAAATAGCAGCCTGAGAGAGAGAAAATTTGGTTAAGCTTCCTGTTCTTATCAGGATAGTTTTGGACAGAAGCACAAAACAATGTGGGAGTGATTTGGGAAAATGAAGACATGACAGGGACACCATATGAAAAGAATGGTCAATGGGGAAGACAGTGCAGAAGTAGAATATATTTAGAGGAGTTCAGATAATGCATAAAGGGAGTGGTGTTTAAAGGGAATGAAGATGAATGTACAGGACTTGGCAGGGAAAATATTGGGAGACAGAAAATTGAGAATGTAGGATTTATAGAGGAAAAGAAAAATTAATAATGTAGGCAGACAAATACATGGTAAGTAACCAGATGGGGAAGAAAAAGTCAGTGGAAATAAGAAAGTAAGAGCGGCAGTAAATGTCATTGTTCTAGTGCTTAGTAAGAGGTCTGGTAACAAAACAGTATATAAAAGTCAAACATTATCTTTGTATGGTACCTTTTTGTGTGGGATGAGGGGGTCTTGGGAAACCGGATTGGGAGCTAGGCATAGGCATCTAGTGAACCTACAATATGTATGGAGAAGAGGATAATCTGCTTTATTATTATTTTAAACAGAAGCAAGAAAGAAAACATTTAAAACCAGTGCCTACACCAGTTCCTAATAACTTAGTATCTGTTTGTATCTGTTAAAAAATACAAGACCCATAACTGGGTTATTTATTATGATTATTTGTTAGCATTTTATGGATATTTCAGCAAACTGTTATCTACCCAGTATTTAAAAAAACCGAAGCCCAACCCTAAAATATCCTGTATTGCTTCTTTTTATAGTCTCATATTCAAATTTCTTTTTATTATCTCTCCCATTTTACAAAAGACTTTACATGAACTAAAAGTGAATCTGAATGATGCTACATGATGAAAAATAGAACAGAACATAACCCCCTTATTGACAAATGCAATTATCTTTTATACTTAAATTAGTCGTATTCCTTACTCACAAAAGTGATAGTTAAAAATATCGACATTAAATATAACTTCAAGTTGACAAGCATCCTTTTATTTATAATTAATAGTAGATAAAAATCTTTATTTTAAATGCTGTTTTTCTTGCAAAACATTTTCTTAAATGCTGAAATTACACTCGGTATTTCAATTATTTCACTTCCCCACAGAATGCTGCAGCTTTCCTACTTTTGTTTGCTTAGTTATAGAACTGCACAGCATGCTTAATACAGTAAGTTGAAAAAAAATTAATGATTGTGGATAAAGAGACTATTGACCCAGACAAGCTTTGATACTGAGATACAGGTATATTTTTGAGAGGAATAAGAAAGGCATAAGTATTTCCCTAGTAAGTATTTTTTCCCAGAACCTGAAACATGAGAGAGAGAGTATTATATTCTTTATTATGGAATATATCGTATAGTCTAGATAATAATTCTTCTATAGTGCATACTAGAGTACAAAAAATATCATTTACAGATAAAATGTAAGGACATAATTGAAATTTTGCAAAGTTGGAAAGCCATGGTCTTTGTTGCCCCAGTGAAAATTCAAAAAAGTGTTGGAAAAATCCCAGTTTCACCCACTGGAAAGCTTTTGTAGAGTTTTGCAACTAAATTCTCCAAGGACCTCTTCTGTACTGAGCATGCTTTATCCCAGTGCTGCAGGAATGAAGCAGTTCTTTCCCTGCAACTCTTTCTCCTCACTCCTGAAACAACTGCTGTGCTAAATATTGAAATAAGAACAGAGTGCTCTCAGTGCTTCCCTCCCCGATATCCAGGCAGATGCAGAAGAAGAAACAGAATGTGTACTGAGAGCAGTAGGGAACGTGAGCTCGATGGGGAGGTGGGGGGAAGCAGAGAATACAGACAGAGATGTGGTACCAAACAGGAAAGGCTGGTAACGGGGAATGTCAGTGCAGCTCTCAAAATGACTGGACAAGAGGAGGAGGCAACAGGAAGGGTCGGACAGAGACGGGGGCTGGGGGTCACTGAGAGAGAAAGAGCTTGTAATTAAAGAAATAATCAGGGTGGCATGAAACTGAGTTCAGACAAGAACGCTGGAAGAATGTGAAGTTAGGAAAAAAGAAACACAATGTAATGTAGAGCAAGGGAAGAGTGAGGTTAGCCATTGACAAAAGCTGGAATTGGACTGAGGAAGAAGAAACTAGGAGGAACTGGGACAGAGACACAGGGATACATGCTACATAGAGAAGGGAGTTTCTGGTGAAAAGGAATCCTCCTTCCAATGTTGGAAGTGAACACAAAGAGTCCTGACACCTAGCATTACTCGCCTGATATTAACTATTTCTTGAACTATTTCTGAAACCTGTCACCCTATAACAGCTGATCCACAATGACAACAAGCTCCCACAGTTACATTTGTGCTGTAGGGTTACATATTGTGGTAGATCTCAAGTTCTGAACAGTTGTATGATGATTAAGCTGAATATATGAAACTATCAGAAATGACAACTCTGTTTCTTGCTTCTTTTTCCGTTTCCTTTAAAAACCCCCCTGTTTTAATTATATGTTAAGACTGCAAAGTAGAGACAGGAAATGTCAGAATTAAGGTTGCCTTTGCAACGTGATCCAATATCACGATCAGAATATATCATGGTCCAGTCTTCAATTAAATAATCATCTGTGGATTTTTTCTCTAACCGGCACCACCTTGGACAGATGAATCAAGGAAAGGTCATCATTACTGAGAATGTTGCCTATAAGTCCTTGATTTCATTTGTTGCAGAAATGGAAATATATGAAATGAGCGTAAGTAGGCAGAGGATAGCTGGAAAAGAATGGATAATCATGGTTAAAAAGCTATTCCTATGTAGTTTGGGATAAGTCCTTTAGAATACATACTTCCAAAATACTCAGTAATTATGTGTTGCTCATATTATAAATATCCAGCTTGGTATCTCAGCCCATAAGCAAAACTGAATTCAACAGGAGTAGTGATGTGAATACATTTGCCAAAAATGCAAAGTATCCTGAAAAATTAGGTCCTCGATACTTGAAAGTTAAGCAATTTGTCATCTTAATCTGTCTGTGACTCCATTTCCCAGCTTTCAAATTGGAATACTCCAAACTTCACTTCCTTGCAGGAATTCTCTGAAGATAAAGTAATTAATGTTTGCAAAATGCTCAGGCACTGCAGTGACTAGTGTAACAGAATGGCCTCCCAAGAAATTAGAGGTCTGTCTTTGCACCAAACAAAATAACAAAACGACTGGATTATAACAAAATGACATAATGACTGGATTCCTAATAAATTAATTATGTCAAATGATGCTTTGAATAAGGCATACATTTGATGGGAAGGAAAGCAGGATTCTGGAATAACAAACCTCATAACATGTACCCACTTCCCAGGCAACGTTTAATCTGGCATATTCCAACTTCTGAGTTATTGACTTTGCAGACATAACTTGCTTTAAATCTAAATGGTTTTGTTTATATACATGTATTTGTCTTTCATAAGAACTTATTGCCTCTTTTGTATTTGTTTATATGCTCAATACATTAAAAGCTTGTTGACTTTTTATTCTGTTGTTACAGCCTCCTTGTGGCACACCAGTAACAACTCTTTAGGATTTAGAAAATGTGATTAAATAACACACAGATGTCAAATGATACTGTTAAGATGATTGACTTCGAAATGCAAAATAAAGGCAATTGAGAGCGATTACTGGAGCTAATCATTTTAGGCTTGCCTCTGAAAAATGCTCCTTCATTTACAATTGAAAACAAATGCTATTTTTACTGTTTAGTATTCACGTAGGTAGATTTAGCCTGTTGACTAGAGAAGACATTATAACATAAATACTATCTTAAAAATTTACTCTTTACTAATATCTTGCTGTTTGCAATATATATATATATACATTTAGATTCACAGGGGAAGTTAATATGGCTCTCTTTAGTATTTCATGTATAAATTTACTCAGCAGATTTGTTTTATTAAAATGTAAATAATGGGATATGGTAAATGAAAAATCCAAGAAGGGAATAAACAGATTATTTATCGTTAATGCTCAGAGTAGCTTATTGAAACACACCTTTCGGTAACTGCCACTGAATATTAGCTACGAAATTCTCATCACGCTTTGAATGTTACCCACTAGGTTTACCCATTTGTATAGTTAAAAGGCTCAAAATGTTTCAAATATACCTTTAAAACGATTGTTATCTCAAATCTAACTATACATATTCACAAAAACTGCATTCAGTATGTCTGAGATTCAACCCAATATTGCTTCAAATTAATTATTCTTCTTTAATTGCTCTGTATAAACAGAAATGACCTATTAATTTAAAGAAAATCTATCAGCACTGAATGTATTCTCTCTTATAAACAAGCAAGATGAACTTGACCTTGTTTGAACTTGTTTTGATGTGGCCCAGATGGTAGGCTACATGCTTGAATAGCAGTCTAAAGCTGAGGAAAAACTCATATAGCAAGATCTAGATTTATAGCCTTTTGCAAATTCCTACCTTGTATTGTCCTTTCAGCATCTGTTCTGCCCCCGCTGCGGTCAGCTTCTATCTCTGGGGTCAGAGAGTCTAGAAACATGGAAAGGTAAGACTGACACATATTTCATTTGATTCTTATAGCCCTTTTTACAACCTGTTACTCCAATGCTGAATTACAATACAATCAACCTTTGTCAGTTTTTTTAATGTTGAACAATGACTGGAGGCCAGGACAATTTTTTGTTAGACTAGGAAGATTAATGAGCAATAGATTTTTCAAGCATAAAGGGGGGGGAGAAAAAGAAGAAGAAAAAAAATTGACTTCTCAAGCTAATAATATAAAATTGTCCTAGTTTGAACATTCTCTCCAGTGAGTTTATTTGCACATACTATATAAAGTAACAAAACAATAAAGAGAGAGGCATCACTTGAATGAAGGAAAGAAAAAAGATTTTCTTTCTTTTCCCTTCCATTATGTTACAAATTTTCAATGTAACAAGCTTCTTTTCGCACTTAAATTGGAAGTTAATGACACAGAGGCAAAAATTGGCTTCTTACCATTTAGGACCCTGAGACTATCTGTTGAAGCTGCCTGTTTCAGTGTCTGTTCTGCTTGCTCCCGTCGTTTAGTCTCAAATTCAAGTGCTTCCTGTAATTTCCTCTTTGCCTTCTTTTCCTTCTTTAGCCTTTTCTGAATTATTGCTAGGAAAAAAGAAAATCAGTGTACTCAGATTTGGATCTGAAACTTTGCTACAGGATTACCTATTAAGAGTCCCGAGAAATGCTACAACTGCAACAGTTCATATAAATTGATTAATTGCATAATACCAATTTAAATTACTTGAAATTTGCTGGAATCACACTGGAATATTCTGAAAGCTACTGTTCTATACCATGGTATTGAAAACTGTAGATGATATTCAGCTATAGCATATATTATTTTTATGAACAGATGAGAAACTGTGAATGTCCAAATAAGAAAACCTTGGTACCAGCAAGCAAATGTACTTTTTTGCATCACCTGATGTAGATAAGCCTCCGTCTCTGGACGTGAGGTGTTTTCTCGGGATTAAGTCCACCATTTTGCTACTGCCCTTAGCACACAAGCTAGTATAGACATAGTGAAGAAGTTCTCACCTGCCTGCAGCTTCTCTCCCACGAGAGGGAGATCTGGCTGCCCGGGTGCCCGGGCTGCGGGGGGGGCTCAGCCCCCCCCCCCGCCCCCGCTGTGGTCCTCACTCCTTCGGGAAAGGCCCTGAGCTTTCTAGCTCCTCTCCAAGCTGCTGCTTCCTGCAAGCCATCCAACCTCTTGGTGCCTGGTCCCTTCCCCGGATTTATTTCTTGTCCACATTTCCCTTTGTCTTCCCCTTTTCTCTTTCTTGCTCTCTGTTGGGTCCTGTCCCATCAGCCAACTAACCCTGAAGAATGAACTCACGGCAAATCCTTTATGGTGCTGGAACCCCCAGCCAAGTAAATATTACTTAGCTTTGTCAAATGCGAGGGAAAATATTAAGAAAGGAAGGAGTATTTTAAAATTAAGCATTAGAAGGCCCTAATTTAGAAAAATGTTTTCCTTGTATCTCTTCAGTTCAAATTTTACAAGGAAAAGTATCGTAAGAGCAGGATGAAACCTCATCACAACTTTCTTTTCCATGTTACCAGTGACTCACAACAACAAAATAACACTTGCATGACCCCTAACTGAAGGAACATATCACAGGTCACATTCCTGATGGAAAAAGACAATGTGAACTAAATTTCCTACTCAATAAAAGCCAAAGCGAGTCTCTAAAGAAATCATGTAAAGTTGCAGAGCATATCATTATCTCCCCCACCACGCCCCAAGCCTTCTTACATAGCACATTTAGGGTTTTCAGGAATGTGCATGTAAGAAGCTTATTTCTCATAAGATCTTCCGGGATAACCTTTTCCTGGAGAGTCTGTTATTTTGACACTAACTAAACAATTATCTACTGAACTACTCACTAAAGAATTCTTTACACACGCTAAAAGAATTATCCTTACCAAAACCAGATACTAGGTGATACTAGGTTTGACTGCCAAGATCTACCTAGACCTGCATCTCACTCCAAAGTAACCTCTGGTACCTGCCTAGGGATGAATGCTGGGAAAGGTAAAAATATACTTCCACCAGTTCATACTCCCCATTTCCAGTAGCCTGTGATGGTGGTATCTTTCACAAAATGCAAATAATGAAACTTTTAAAGGGAATCATCACTGTTATTACTATTTAATTTATATGTTAAGAATAACCACTTTTGGGGTGATCTTGGATATTTGTGTTGCTATACAGAACTGTTCAGACACAAAATTAATATAAGCACATACCCTACAGTCAGAATAGCTACATAATTTACATGCAAGACTTTGGAATTTTGGTCCTTTCTCATTTTGTATAGTACCAACTACTTTACAGGCTAATTAGCTTATACTATCGAAGAACATCTAGTATCTATACAAAGGCTAAACTAAATACATTTTGAATCATTGCACGGTTTTAATGTTTTCATTATAAGTACTTTGAAAGTGATTGCAATAAATGAGAAGGAAACATATGTTGCTTTCTGAATTAAAATGTCATCATGGCTGACACATTGTAGATGTGACTACAGCAGTCAGAGCCAGAATTAGCAAGCCCTTACTGTGTAGCTGCTCACAGAAGAGATATTATCCTACTTTCACCAGTTGATCAGACACATCCTACAGCCTTAGGAATCACTAATTGGAGTATTTACAAAGAAGGAAGGAGACAGTACAGTAAATAAGCAGCTCTGTAGAACATACAGTAGCAGCAGTGAATTTAATGTTCCAAAAACCGGCAAAAATGTTCAGATGTGGACACTAAAGAAAAAGATATTTGACTTGTGTTAACACAACAAGCAAAAGATAGATGTTGCCTAATGCTGAAGATCCCATTCACCTAATGGGTTTTGACCTGTATGTGACACAGTGACTTGTCTTTCTACGCTTTAGCTTTCAAGTGTATTTCAGTTTTTTCATATGGTAACTCTTAACAGGGATAAGGCACACTTCTCCCATCTTGCTCAAGCTTCCATTAAGACATGTGAAACTTTCTTTAAGACATGACACTTGCTGTCTGGAAAACTAATAGTAGCTAAAGCCTCCTATGTATTTTTCTACCTTTAATTGAAAGATAAATTCTCACAATAATTACAATCTAGCCTTATTTTTTCTCTCCTACTTGGATCTGTTCATTTTAAAGAATAATCCATTACTTTTCTTTCTTTTGTACAGACCATTGCGTACCACCATTAAGTGTTCAAATCCATTCCTCTTTGGTCTGATTCTTCTACAAGTGCAGTATCATCATTAGAGGGACACATATAAAAAAGCAGGTAATGCATGATGCTGAAAATAACACTGTCAATTATTTCAGTACCAAAATAAGGGACTATCCCATGCTCTTTCCTGACATACAGCTTTGAGTGAAATTCATTTTGCATAATTTTAACTGCTGAAAGCGTAAGTGCCTAGTCCAGCCTAGTCAACTCTATTCCCTCTGGAGTTGGGAAGAGAAAGAAGTCTTCATGGTGTAATTGACCCCACCTACCTGACTGAGAACAGGACATACGAATCTCTTTCTTTATTGACGAGAAAGGGAACTTATATTAACTTAAATGAGGTGCTTAACTTTTACATGGCAAAACTCAAGTAAGGTCAGTTGGGTCCCCCCCCAACCTTTTCTATTGTGCATGTGACTGCCTAACTCGAAAAGGGAATATATATTTGAGCAGTTGTGACACACAGAGGTAGAAGGATGTGAAGAATAACGAAGCTCTTTTACAAAACTATTTTTAAAGTGTAAGTAGTGAATTGTACTGAGCAAAATAGGGCAGTTGTGAACAAAGGCATGATTCATTGCACAGCTGTGATAATTGTTAATAGTAATTGACTTTAAAATGTATTCTCAAAAGTTAAAAAAGGGAAATTAATGATGTGACAGTCCTACCCTTTAATGGGTCAAGGCATGAAATGGGATTATATTGTGTACTTAGTGCTAGCATGTTTGTTAAACGTATAATGATACTGCTTGTGAATCCAAGTGTTCTCAGGATTCCCTACTTAGCTAGTTCTCAGAAAATTAAACTGGACAAGAAGAGAGTTATAACTGTAGCCCTGCAAAAATACATATCTGACTTGTCATGGTCTGTGTTAAACAGCAAGTGAGCCCCAGAGGTTAACTGTCCCTTGCAAAGTAATTAGACACTATTAAAGGGCAAGACACACATATACAGAAAAATAGACCCATAAAGAAAGATGGGGACGTGCTCGTAATGCAAATAGTTAATGCAAATCACTGTAAACTGCTTTACCTTTACTATCAATGAAATTATTTAAAAATCTTTAACATGTATATGCTTTACAGTGGGCTGATGTTAATGTTTGAAATGCTACTAATGCTACTGCCTTATCAAGAAGAACCTTAACTGTTCCTTCTACAAACTCGTGTTTGATCTACTATGCAGGATAAAGGGCTTATACATTACCTTTATCTTTATATTTATTACATACGGTTTGCTTAAATATGCAATATATGATCCTAGCACATAAGAACAGAGACAAGAGTTCCTACGGCCTTACGGATTCTTAAATTTTATACAAATTGTCTTTGTATTAAGTAGCTATCCTTTTTCATAATGATCACAACCTGCCTAAGTCCATAACAGCACCTATGGCATTCATAATTGTGTTGTATATTACTGATGTAATAAGTAATGTTCAAGAAAAACGTTGGGAAAAAGGAAGTTCTAAATCTCATGAAGATCCTATGCAGAAACAGGCAGGTTGTAAAACCTCCTGCATTGCAGTCAGCCTGGACATAACATGAGGTAAAGGGGAAAAGTTTTGATCAAACACAGGTGTTTGACAAAAAATTAGGTTTCCTAAGGAAATAAATTACAAGGCGTTTATGTCTGCTTAATTAAGATACCTCTGTTCTTCTGCTCCACAGCCAACTGTTTTTCAAGTGTTTCCCTCAGTTCTCGTTCCCTGAAGAGCTCCATCTTCAGCTCTGTCTTTTCCAGTTGGACCTGTTTCTCTTGAGCTCTGGCATTGTCTATAGCAACCTTTAGTAGACCCTGTTCAAAGATAAAGTTGGATAAGGTTTGAAAAATGTTAGAACACCTGACATAATAACTAACTTCTGCTATTTGTCCTTGATTATTCATGTGAGATTTTACAAATGAAATAATCCTGTTGCTGGGTCAAGGCCTCCCAATTATCAACAGGAAATTTTTACTGGAGTTAATTTTAACAGGTGGGCAAAAATCCATAAAAAGCCGGGAGTCAAATTTTCCCAGAAAACGCAAACTCACCTTTGACTGTGTATATAAATAATGGGAAAAAGTTATAGGGATAGGTTTATTCTTTGTAAGAGATAAAAGAGAAAAGCCTACATCAGGCACTTGCCTGTGACCTAAACAAAAAGCTGTCCCGTTAAAAAGAATTGGCAGTCTCACAATCACATCATCCACAGTATGGCAAATTCAGTCTCTAGTACAACTCAAGCCAATGGAAATTACCAAAGGGAGAAAGGCTCTTTTAAAGGCTTGCCATTTTGCTCCTTATTGTTGTTAATTATTATTACTTTCAAATATTTTCATATTTCACAGAGTTTCCAAGGAAGACAGGGTTATTGGGATGCTAAGCAGAGGACAGTCACAAAGCAGGAAGCTATCTCTGTTTTAAAAAGTCTGTTCCCTGACCTTGTGCAATTGTTACCTCACAGCAGAGAACAAAATACAATCATCTCTCAATTTCTTGACCTGGTATGGTTGAAATAAACTCTACCTTTTTTTGTTGTTATTGCATCAGGAGATTATGATTCAACCTATTCTAAACTTCTCTCGAGAATTTCAACTTCACAATTCCTTCTTTTTTGCAAGGAAACAGGAAGATCCCAGCACAGCTAATAACTAGATAGTTAGGACACTGAGATAGGGTATGAAAAAGAGGAGGAGAAATGAACTGAAATAAATGAACATGGGAAGAGGAAAGATTTCCATTTTCCAGAAGCCTGGACATCAGGCTCTTAGGTCTTACACCTGAATCTCTCCCCTTAAAGCTATCATAATAAAGTAGATAATTAAGCATGGATATGCATATATGAACATCCATGGATATGAACCTAACTTTTCTGTATCCTAGGCAAGTCTCCTGACAACTTAACTATAGAGATAATTTGACCCAACAGAGATTTAATTACTGATATAAAGCAAAACAATGCCAACAAGAGAGATTGAAGAGTACTCCCCAATAGCTCTGCTAGAAAAGCATTCAGCTAACAGATAAAATGTTCACACTCAAGACCCGGGTTCAGAACAACCACATTACAGACAAGAAATCATGTCCCCCAACTCCCAAGTAAGCTTCCTCACCCCTCAGGCACGCTTCCTAAATTGGATTCTGGGTTGCATGTTTTTTTCACTAAAATTGTTTGAAATATCTCCCAAAAGGAATGGAAAAAGAAGCCAGCATGATGATACTTGAGAAATGGAAACAGTATTTTTCATGAGTGTCAGTCTGCACATTTATCCCACTAGTCTTCCCAATGTCAATGCCTGCTTTGAAACTTGTGTCCTTCAAACTCCTCTTTTAAGTCTGTTTTCAGAGCCTGTTATTTTCAGTACTCCTAATCCTCATTCTTAACTAAATTGTTGCCTCAAGTGTTGTCTCATTCAGAGCTTAATGCTTTGCAGCTCTATTACACTTCAGTCTATTAAAGTCCACAGGAACTGAAAGAACTCAACACCTTCTGACTGTAAGGCCCAGATGGTCACCAAAATGATATACAATACTTAAGTATAGAACCACATTTGAAAATACAATGTAACAATGGCAACACAACAAATGTGCTTACAAATATGTTTACAGTTTTAGCAGTTTTCTTTAAAAGAACCAATGCTATTCTAAAATAGGTAAAACACAAAGGTATTTTGTGTTGAATGTTAAACCTGGAGGACTACTGAAGAAAACCACGTAATGTTAAATATAAAGCTCTACAGACATATGCAAAGTAAAATACAATTTGAAATATCTGTAAAGCCTTTCCAACCTATTTTTTAAAAGTTAATATCCACCTGAATACTGTTCCCTTTCCCCACCATATTCTCCTACATTTACAACCATCACAAACTATGTTTTCTATACGGGATGCATTTGAAATCGTAAGAAACTGAAGTAGGAGTTGTTTATAAGTACCTGCTTCTGACTTGCGCTTAAACTCTAGAAAATTTTAATCTCGTCCAATTCATCACTTACTGGAATATGTGATTCATCCAAATAACTAATAAACCAGATCAAGTGAAATTACATGAAAAGTATTTGTTGATGAAAAATGTATTGTCAAGTAGGTTTAAAGCTGCAAACACCCTCCTCCCGAATTCTTACAATCCATCTTGTTTAACAATAAAATCGAGCTGCTAAAGCAACTGCCATCTTTACTCAATTCAACTACATTCATGTACATGTTTCTTCTTCATCAGGAACAAACAATTAGTAACAAATGAAAGAGATCATTACATCAAGTGCCCTTTTAGATCACCCCAATTAAAACTTTAGTTTAGCTGTATTTTAATTCTAAGATACCAAATTCTAATTTTCTGCTCTGATTGCTCTTGTTGACTTATCTTTGAAAGATGTACTCTCAGTGCAAAGCCTAGAGATTATTTAGCAAGATGCCAATGTTGGCACCACTTAATGTGTTGATTGGTTGTATTATCAGTAGCAGTTTAAAATAAATTACTATTAAACTATTATTGTCCTTGGCTGACAAAACACAATATTTTGGTGTTCTTTAAATATGAAACAATCATTATGAATAAACATGGAGAATAACGCTAGAGTGTAACACTGATGTGTGTAATTTTATATTAAGAATTGCCGCAAAATACGAAGCTGCTAAAAGTGTATTACATTTTCTATTGAATTTCTACACCACACTCCCTCCCCCAACCTTTCCTTTTTTTATACTCGCTGCTAACGTAGCTAATGGTAATACATTACCTATTGCTGCTGATTATGTCTGAAAAATATTAGCTTTTTGGAGCCAAGACCCACTAGGGACTACTTATAAGCTACACAAAATTAAGTTTCATTTTTAGAAGTTAAATCAGTGCACATCAGTAGGCGTCCAATGTGAAGAAAAATCTGCACTAGAGCCAAACTGATGCATATGCAAAAGTGCTGTTGCTGCCAATGACAGCTCTAATGCAAAAATACTGGAAACGTTCAATATCTCCCTGTATTCAATGCAGAAGGGGGTGAGAAAAACAACTAAAAAGTACAGCATCTAAAAATCATCAGTGCCCCTTGGAACAGGAATAGCAATTTCAGAGTTGCATGAAATTCTATTAATTCTCCCAGTGGATCAGCTGTAAAAGATTATACAAAATACAGTATGTCCAACTTGTATTTGCTATGGCTAATCCTCTAACCTGATATTAAATCAATATGCTGCCAATGACAATGGGAAATGCAGTGCATCACAGGACATTAACAAAAAGAAAATATTTCCCTTTAGGGAAGGTCAGATGTTATGGAGGCTGGATAATGATAATTGTAGCAAACATGCTCAGGTTCCAGATTTGTTTTTAATACAGTATGGCTCTATCTGGAGCCAGGCTTTAAACATGGCATGCCATTCATCCCCTCTGTGTCACTGTTAATAAATTTTTTTTATTTCAACGTAATGTCAAAAATGGACATTTTTCCCCTGGAGATTTATAGGTCATTAAGATTTGGTTTGTTTACTTTAATGCACTTGTTTTAATATTTTCCACCGATAAATTCTTCAGAAATGTCCCAAATAAAAAGTTAAGTTGATATATGGTTGATGTTTCTTCCTATTCTCAAACGTATTCAAAAACACCATCACGTTAGGGCAGTCTACTGATCCTATAGAAATCAAACACATATCAAACCTCAACTCAGGTTTAAAGTCAGTATTACCCATCATTATTTTTCAAAAATGCAAATAATGTATTTTCTATTTTGAAAGGGGTGGAAAGGAAGGTATATAGAAGCTCTTTCTCTTTCTAGCTACATCTACAGTGTGTTCTGTCTAACATAATATAGTTAGCTACACAGTTATATATGACATCAAATGGCCTTACTAGCTAGTTCAGTAGTCTCTCTAGATCATATCCTGCTTCCAACAATCGCCCACAGTGAGTGAAAAAGGAAAACTAGAAGAACAAGGCATGCACACAGTGAAGCTTTCCTAGTCAAACCTCCCAGCTTCCAGAGACTTGTAGCTCAGGGGCTTCCTTTTGCAATAGTAGCTATTCGTGGTGAAAACACTTTCAAATAACGTTGTTTCTCTTTCAGTCAGGAAATTATATGTAATTTGTATGCTCTCATCATTAAAACTATCTAGTGAAAGGCTTGCAAAAAAAAAATCAATATATACATTTTTAGTTCACTTCATAGGTTAATTTTGAATATTTGCTATTTGTAACTGACTACTGACTTAGTAACATAAGCAAGGTAAGATAACACAGCTTGACTATCTCTACAGATGACTCCACAAAGACATTTTTGTAATATCTCAGACCGAATACCTCCATCACAGGTAAAGGCATATTACACAAGCATAAATGACCTTTTCCCATTAATACTTTCTGTGAAAAATAAAATAACTCTCTTGAATTTTATCAGAAGATAAATAAAGTAACATGAAGGAAAACTGTGATTTTTACTTTATGCACGGTTTGCAATATTTTTCTCTTGTGTATTTAGTCATAGATGGTAACAGTGCAGGAGACTCACAGCAATAAAGCCAGTAGTTTGCTTTGTTTTCATAGGGGAATTTAGTTTGTAATCATGCGTTTCTTTTATTAATATCAATGGGATACTTGCAACTTATTTTACATATCTCTTTAAAAATACTTAGCAACAAGAGTGTGTCAATACAGTACAGTCTTGATAGAAAAATATAGCTATCAGGGTGCAACTAATTCATCCCTTAGATATTAATGGAAATTCAGCTCAGGGACAGTAAAGATTCAGACTCTAAAAGCTTAAAAGAACACTACTGTTACCCAAGAATATTGCAGTATCATGAAAGGCTGTGGCTGTAACATACTTTGGCATAATTGGGCCATGACTCAAAAAGGTGAACTTAAGCAAGGGGTTTGGAAACATCTTTAGCTTTCTCACTAGTACCCACACAGCATTTTGCTGTGACCCACCTTCCATCACCCTTCATCCTCCCTGCAGCTGCACATAAGACTTCCAGCATTTAACTGGAAGAAATCAACAAATATACATTGGGAAGGAACAGACATATCACTTAATTTAAGCTCTCTGGGGAAATTTATTTTCTCTTCCTTTTAGATGTGCAGATATACATCTGAATAAGAAAATATGTCCCCAATCTCATTTATTTTCTACGTGTGTTTGTTTAATTATATTTTGTTACAGTTTATTATTTGCATTTCAGCAGTCCCCAGCAAGAAATAAACATCGGTTGTTCTGGGTACTGTATATTGTTATTATCTCCTCTTTAAATGTACAAATAATTAAACATTGTATTTTTGTTTCAATAAGTATTTACAGAGAAGTAAGAAAAACATATATATGATATACAAACCTAACTAGCAGCCCCTGCTGACAGTGATAGCAAACAGGCTTGTCTAACTTTTGCCTAAAATTACGAATGAGTGATTAGAGGCTATCCATTTAACTTCAGTATGGATGGAAGACACAGACTCATTTCTGTTTAGTGGCCAATTTTAAAGGATGACTCAGACTTAGACTGAGTCTAAGGAATTAAGTCAAGTTAGGCACCGAGTTCAATCACCTAAGCTCTTCAGCACCTGCAAGACTTTTAGCACATTTTGTTTTCAAATATCAAAAGTGTTTCGGAATTTTTGCTCACATACCCAAAAGCCCTGTCCCTATGGCAAGGTTTAGGATCCTCCTTACCCTGACAAAGGTCAAAATTAGAGCTCCTAGTGGCCACACAGTACACTAATGCTGTTCTATTTTAAACCAGGACAGGCTCTACAACCTCTTCTGGAGGCACCCAAGGTCTATATTACACAGGTCTTCCAGATCCTGCACCTCAGACAACCGAATATACACAAGGGGATCACAGCACAGATATGTACCGTCATGTCCATGCACATTGGTGTAGCCAGAGGCTGCTTGCCTACGTATTCATGTGACCATCATATCCCTAAAATATAGGAACCTCCACCACCACCATGTGGCAGGTCATGCATGCACTCCAGTCTCCTGACCAAATGAAGATGTACACTTGCATTTTAAAAGCAGACATATACCCTTTCTGTGAAAGGACACATCCGTATTTTCATCATTCATAACCCTGGGGAAAAAAGAACAGCGTTTACCAAAACCACTCATCTAGCCTTTGGCTAGATTTCTGCTATTTTCTGTTTCAAAAGCACCTTAGTACTGGAGGCAGGGAATGGACTGTAGGCCAGATCATCTTGTCCAGAACGTTAGATCTGCTCCATTGCTAGCATAGCTGCAACAAGAGAATGGTGAGGGATCTTACTGCTCCACCTCTCCTTTGAATCCACACTTCTGCACTGAAAGGGATGCAAAATTCATCTGGACCAAAGGAGAGCAAAGAGGAATTTACGCAGTGACAAGAGTCCTTCTGACTCATGTACTAAATGCATCATGGGTTTCAGGCAGTGCTTATGCATTTCTTAGCAAAGTCACAAATGATATTGCAAGCAGGCACGACAGTACAGAATTTCCTCTTTCCACAAATCCCATTAACGAGTTCAAACTTGTAGTCTAATACCTAAAACTCAGTTCTGAAAGCGTCAGTATCACAGTATCTAACTCATTTCTGGGCCTGGAGTAGCCCCCTCTCATTGCAGTAACTGCTAAATATGGAAACCATTTTAAATGGCACTGTGCTTGCAATAGGCTCATAGACTCTATTTTTTTTTTTTTTTTTGGTATGAAGTGCTTTTCTGATGTTGTCCTGATACAGATTAAATCTAGGGGGGGGTGGGGAATGCCTTGATGGTATATGAAAGGATTCCCAGAGATCTGTGGAAACCAGGTAATGTGACATGGGGACATACTGAAAAAATCCAAAAGGACTTATGTCCCACCTGTCTACCCTGAGAGATGATTTGCTGTGATGTGGAACCTCACGGTAAGGAGCAGTAAGTACAAAAGCACAATGAGAGAAGGCATAAAGAAGTCTCTGGTTTCTTTACAATGTTGCCTTTTATTTTAGCTCTTCACTCCAGGTAAGGCTAGGGTTTTTAAAAAAAAAAAAACAAAAAAACACAAAACCAATGACTGAATTTCACGTTCACATTTTCTGTAAAACAAAACTGAATGCATTCTTGGCAAATTAATCCTGGTCATTTATCCTGAAGTAGTGCAGCACTCTCATATTCAATCACAAGATTAGCTAACCTGTTGATGCTGAATGCTTTGCTCATTAAGTTGCTGTCTAGAGACATTGAGTGCACACATTTGTCAAAAAAATTACTAAGAACTTTCCTGTACATGCATGCACAGCTAAAACATTACATACTTTGCTAACTGTATTTCTTCCTTTAGAAAAAAATACATTCTTTACAGATTGCAGCACATCTGTTAGAAGAATGCTAGCTGTTGTAGAATTACTTTGGCTTATGATTTAAATCTTTAAGATCCTAAGTCTCAGAACCACAAAAAGCAATCACAAATATGCTCTTTCAGACCATGCAGATATAGCAATACTTAAGTAGCAGTACTTTTTCATTATTAGATCTCAAAACATCACCAATGAATAGATCATATACTTTTCATAAACCAACTCTGAAGTGCCATAAACTTTAATGAGATTGCCTAAGAAAGTCAAGTGAGCAGGATTTGGCCCTACTCTGTCATAACCTTTGCTATAATTGATTTTATATATTTGCAGGAATGAGCAGGGAAAAATATTGTGACAAATACATTAGAAGTTAGCAGCTGCACAGATGAGGCTTATCTGGAATGAGTACAATATGGCTGCATTATTTCCTGCACTATCATTGTGCTTCCGCATGCAACATACAACCGTATTGTTGCAAAAGTTGCATCTTGGGAACACATGATCGCTGAATTTGTGGACAAAAAAATTCTTCATTCTAATATGAAACACTAACATCTTGGCTCCAAGCTGCATGCTAGTGTATACCTTAAATAATATTTGAATCAGGCTGTATTGTACACCCAGGAGACATCGTGACTACTCAATAGGAAATCTGCAGAAAATTTGGTAGTACCCTTTGAAGTCTATTCTTTGAAGACAGTACTATAAGTGAAATGAGCTTATTTATAAACGAAGTGCTTTTTGTGAATGCTTTTATGGGAGACACATTTCAAATAGCTTTAAATATCATTTCTACCTTGGCACTCCAGCAACTTAAAATAACTATTTATTAAAGAAGTGTTTCTCTGCTTAGTAAATGAGATAAAGTTAAACAGTAAGATACATTTCATTAGCCTGTAATAAAAAGAGCATTTAAGACAAATGTTGTTAAACACACCAATGTAATTTTCATCGAATTCTCTGCTGTGGTTTAATATACAATCTGTATTTTTATGCACTGTATCTGACAGCTTCTAAATTCACTTGTTTGCTGTGGTTCCTTTAAAACCTAAATTACTAGAAAGTTTCAGTAAATTAGTTGATCCAAATAATCTTATGAACTGATTAAGCTAGAATGGTTATATTAATTTAGACAAATCTGCAACTGGCTCCTCTCCATCCCTTTAAGCTGATCTACAGAAAGGCCTACCTGGATGTTAGTCAGAAGGGTCTCTATGGAGGACAATCCATCAGGGAATAGAAAAGGAGATGGAAAACCCGGAGGTAGTGGTTGCCCATGCCCAGTTAGAGAAAGTTTGTCAAGGCTGTCTCTTGCGGTTGGTGTGGAGAGCGGGGTCTCATCTGTATGTGATTGAAACAAAAATATAGAACAAGTTACGCTTGTCTGTTTTTATTAGACCTCAGTAATGGCTTCCCTAGTGGTTTCCAGAACATTTATTGCAAATTGGTTCCTGCTATCAGGAGAAAATGCTTTCTGCTGAATTTTCTTTAATGAAAAAGCTGTGGAGATACAACAAGATAACATTAATGAGTAACTTTATAAGCCTTTTAAATGCAGTCTCTAATGAGACTGAGTTTACAGTGCCATAGAATCTTTTTAAAACAAATATTATCTCACATATACTTGTGATAATATATTCAGGCTGACTTTATGGGCACCTTCCCAATTATCTCATTTTAGTTTGTGTTCTATTTGGATTGACAATAGAATATTTTCTAGCATGACATATATTTTGTATATGAGAAGTATTTGAATATGAGGCTTCCCATACAATTAACCCTTCCTGCTCTTAATGGTTTCACTTACAGCTCAGAAGATTCTGCAACATCGAGAAAAACTACAGCTCCTTAATGCATTTTTAATCAAGAAAGTACACCTGATTCCCACAATTGAAACATGCTCTGAACAATACATGAAATTAACAGCATGGTTACAATCACTGGCCTAATTTTTTTAAGCATGGACATCTTCTAACAATTAGTGCTGAACTCCTTAGTGGGATCTTTGTAACAATCAGATCTGATCAGTTCTGACATCACAACGGGAAAAAACTCCCACAGCTTGAAGACTTGTAAGATTAAAGTTGCACAGATAATCTGTGAACGGATTATAAAGTAAGGGGGAAAAAAAAGAAGAAAAAAAAAAAGAAAAACTCCACAATTAATAGAAACTTCAATACCCTGGCTTTTTTTTTTTTTAATTTTTTGAAATATTTTTAGACTACTGTTGATACGATACAGAAATTTAGGTCAATTCCTTTGCACCAGATGTTAATCTGAATTCTTCAAAAGGAAAACTATCTATACATATATATAGATACATATATCTATACATACGCTTCTTAACAAGGGCTCAGTCATTAACTGACACATATTGATGTATCTCAACACAATACAAGGACATCAGAATGTACTCTTGGTATTATGCAGATCTCTGCACAGCTATTTGACTACAGAAGAGTTTGTCAGACTTGTTCTTTTCCATTTGGGCTTCGATCATTATAAGTTATATATGTTTTGGGGTATTTTAATTTCTTTTTCTTTCTGCATTTTATTTAATTATAGTTTCAATAATAGTTATATTTCTCTATTTATCCTATCATGTACATTAGGAATTGTGTGATATGAAAGTTCTGATCCTAGCTGCCTAAAAAGAGCTCTCTCTTTGACTGGGGTGCAGTACTTTCTTATGTGGACATAGTCTAGGACCACGAAAATCGAAATCTGTGGCAACGAAGGGTTAGAATGTAGGCTTTGATGACCCCAGGACCAGAAAAACCGTAACTCGAAGTCCCAGTTCATTCCAACAGTCCCCATCCACTGTTTCTCCAGAAGGAAGTAATCTCCATCAACCATGTTCGGGTGCAGATTTCTTGCCCCATCTCCTCACCAGCTCTGTTGTGCTGGCCAGTATTTACAGTGCTAGAGTAAAAGCCTCACCCACTATGTCCCTCCACAGAAATACCCAAACAGGCACTTGGACATCTGCTTGTGGGCTGGCCTTACTTAGCTCTTTCTATAGCCAGGGGAGAGGAGCAGACACCACTTTAAGGTACTAATCCACTGAACTATCACAGGCATCTACTGCAGGAGGAGACAAGACCTCCTCTAGACATGTCTGTTAAGAGAAGCCTAAGCTGACTAGCTCAGATGGAAAGATCTGCTTTTGGCGAGATCAGTCCTACCATGGAAGCTGTTCTTCCTACTTCACTGTGGCTCAGGCTGAGAGTAGCCTACACAAGGAGTAAGACTCCATTTCGTGTCCCCTATTTGTCACAGTTTGTGCCACAATTACTGCTTTCTCATCATCATTCAAAAGCTTACCAAGGTAAGCTTTGTGAAAGGAATTGATGTTGACCAAGGAAAGCTTCAGTCCATTCAGAGTCATAAAAGATTTTTTCAGCTGTATTTAAATTTTCCAGTCATGTCGCAAAGTGCTGAGAAACACTGCCTGTAGATTACGGAACCATTTCCTATCTACCTTACTGAGATTCAAAGCAGGTTCTGAAAAATGTACTCTCTAGTTGTATCCTCTGCCCTCATGCTACCCCACAGCAACATGGATATCTCTGTAGTCATTCTGTACTATCATACTAAAATTTGGCCCTAAATATGATTTTTTTCTTTTCTTCCCAACTCTTAAAATATTACAGAAATATTCACCACTTCATTAGAAAAAATAAATTAGGTATTCCTGGGTATTGCAAACTAACTTACTGTTCTCAGATCATACTGCTAGTTCTCCTTCTCAAATCCTATTCTAGTGTGAAAAATCATTACTAAGTGCCTTTTTCCAAACTGCTGTCAGAATTGTTATGCTTTCCTCAACAGAAAGAAACAACCCAAAACTTAAACAAAACTGGTTAGACAATGGATTGATAAACACTACACAATATTATTGCATAGCTGAAAGCTTTTTTTTCCTCTGCTGGAAGTGGGGCTTGCCCAAATGACTCCTACCCAACATTAAAAAAAAATTTAAAAAGTTAAAAATTACAAACCCTCCTCTGTGTTACGTCACTGAGTTTTTTGGCTAAAGACTTCTTTAGATCAGTGGTTCCAGTGAAGGTATTGGACTTGCATGGTATAGCAAGAAACGAGTTTAATCACTAGTATGGATGGTGGAGTTGTGTCATATAAATTAGAAAGTAAACTAAAAAAAGACATCATTTGCCTCCAGGTTTGTCAGAGAAATGAACCAATGACCTCTCATACTTCCTAAGAAAACTTAGAATCTTACTAATATTTTAAGTCTTAAATTGTCAAAATATTTTAAAACATACTAGATAAAATTGACCCACTTAAAAATTCCATAAGCCTTAATTAGCTTAAAAACTATGCTCTTCCATGCAATTGTTGAGACACAGAAAGCTCCTAACACAGGTCTTGTCATAGAATTTAACCATGGGATGAAATTTTTTAACTGTATTACTACTTTAAAATTAAATATACGTTAAGTTTGATGTACTCTGTGCATGCTCAAAATATGTTGTGAAGTTTGCAAAGATTTTCCTAACAATGTGTGGCATGCTTTTCCAATAGGCAAGGTAACTCAGAAAAGGTTAGAATGGTATGAACTCAAAATAACATCTAAACTCATGTTATAATAAATAACAGAAACAAATTTACACTGAAGGGTAAGACTAGAGAGCTGAACTTAGTATGAACTTATTTTAATGAAACTTCAGCGCAGAAAAAAAAGTCAGACTAATGTGACTTTGTTTTCTTGATGTCCCATGTGAAATAAACTTTGAGTGTGAGTATGTTTGAAACAGAGCAAATGTACATATTATACACAGGAAGCATGGATATTTGTGGATGTGAGATAAGCGATGATTGAGGGAATCTTGAAGAAATGCATTTTTAAGAAAAACCACATTGTAAACACCGCCAATTAAAACATACCGCCTTAGTAGCAAAATAATACGACCTCTTGCCATTAAAGCATTTAAAAATCTTCCATTCCTGCAGAAGTCCTCTTTTCTCAATACGATGAGATATCTTTGTTTCCAAATAACGATTAGCCTAACATCTTTTAAACTGTTGCAAAGGAACTACTAATGTTCCTCTTAACCTATCAGCAGAGCAATGCTGCAAAAATGATGAGCCCTTGCTGGGAAACAGAGATTTGGCATTTTCAGTCTAAACGCATCAAAGGAAGCATTTGAAGACAAGTCAGGGCAAGAGGGGCAAGAGGGTCAATCTACAACTCCATTGTCGGAGCTGGGAGCACAACAGTGTAAAGAAAGGGGAAAAAAAGAAAGAACAAGGCAGAACAAAGAAGTGTCCAAGCCTGCTTTGGCTTGTGCTGGGAACGGAGATGTTATAAATTAACAAATAAACAAGGAAAGGACAAGCTGTTACCCAAGCCTCTACAGTATCTGAGCAGAGATGAATATGTGCCTTGACATATGAACTAAATCACCATAACAGGCAAGTCTGAATGTGACACATATCTTTAACATACTTGTAAATGCTACATCCACTCTATCCATTGTTCCTCAATTTCCAAAATTCACCTGTTTCTGTTCAAACCAGATTTTATCTGCAAACAGCAGCTGGTTTGGGCCAAATACAACGAACATTTTTCACTGTGTTTGGTTTGTTGCCATTCTATTTTTTTCTTTCACCAGATAACATAGAAACAGACATCCTGGAAGCTGTGACAGCTATTTATACAATAATAGATGAATGGAGGTAGCCATTCTCTTGTCTTTGTTCCTAAAAGCAAGTAGGATAAGTTCAGACCGGTCACCAATCAAACTGGAGAATATTGGTATTGCCAGGATTTGAATGCAAGCAATAATAGCTGGCTCCAAAAAATACTATGCAGATTACTGCCCTTCTGTAATCATTTAATGGTTTTTTGTAATGCATCTTGATGCTTTTTTGTTCTCTGTAAAATACTTCATGTGTATTTTAATAAAACAGCCTTATTTTTACCATTTGAATGATGAAAGAAGATCCTGTTTTCACTTTTTACTATCATAAATCTGGTGCATACCTTTTTGTGGAAACAATTTATTCCATTTGGCTTAATATGATTTTGGTTTATGTTGTCAAACACCCTTTACTACAAAGTTTTATATTTCATCTTCCTCAAAGTTAGTGGTTGCAGGTGTGACAAGCTCTTCTATTTTAATTCATCTGTGTCATGGTTTAACCCCAGCCAGCAACTAAGCACCATGCAGCCACTCACTCACTTCCCCCTGACTGAGATAAGAAGTTTAATAGAACAGAAAGGAAAAAACTAATAATGATGATAATAATAACAATAATAAAATTACAATAGTAATAATAAAAGGACCGGAATATACAAAACAAGTGATGCACAATGCAAT